GATGCATTAGGAAGTTACCTTTAAAATGGCAAAAATTTCTAGGTATTTTAATATCGACCACATGATGGAGGTTTTAAATATTTTAGGTACGACCGAACTTAATTACGTTTTTACAAGAGGTTGCAAAGAAATGATTATAATGTGCATTGCTAATGTACCCCTTCTCTTCAGCTCTCAAACGATCTCCGGATTTGATTTCATCCAAGAACTTTCATGCTATTAGCCTGATCAGATCTTCATATCATCTATAAAAATTCCTTAGATTTCACTTCGAAAGATTTCTGATGTCCAAATAAAAAAAAATACTATGAAGGTCGAGTACCTAAATGTTTGAAAAAATTGCATTATGATCTACAAATTCAGGTAATCTACTTAATCTTTCCGACAATAATGCAATTATTGTCTTTAAAATTTCTATCCTTCAGACTATCTAGTCATGAGCCTGCTTATCAAGATTTCTGGAGCTCCATTCATCTGAAAAGACACCTTAGTTTTCAGCTCAACTTGATCTTTGGTAAATCTACAAAATGCTCTGATGTTCAGATGATCTACAATGATTTGATAGCTACTAGCGGTCATATACGAGGGCTATCACATACATATGTAGGCGGGAAATGTCCAGGAATGGCTCAGGATTATCAGTTCAGGCACAGTGTCAATTTTCTACAGCACAACAACCGTTTGTGAACGTGAAGATCATCCCTCGTCATTGAGCCAGAATTAGTCACAATTCACCATACAAAGATTTAAGTTCAGCGATACACTTCTGTCGCGATAAACCACGTCGAATCTGTACAAAATATTTTCTGCCTGTTAATCTTAAGATTTCGTATACTGGTCATTCATATAGAAACTCTTCTACTCGTTTATAGATTTCTTTACTTCATCTCATCTACAAAAATTCACTGGTTATCAGATAATCTACTAAGACTCGCTGCTTTTAAGCTTATCTACATATAACTGTTCAAACCTGAGATGTATATAAAGAGAGTCTGGCCTTCATCTCCTATACAAAGGCTATATGGACTTCAGAACATTTTGATTTCATGGCCGTATTAATGTTTCAAAGAAAGCCGGGGATGGTCAATAAACTCTGGCCTTCATTTCGTCTATAAAGACATTCATGTTGTCCGCAAAAGCTTCCAATAATGCATTTTAAAGAATCCCTGGTCATTAACGCTTCTGCATAGGCCTTTAGTGTTCCTATAAGAAAATCTGCCTTTTATCTCACATGTTAAGACTTTATAATATTTAGCTCGTTTTTATATATGAACCTTCATGGCCGTCTTTTCCTTTTCTGTAGAGACTCCTTCCACCCCATATACTTGCTAAAAAAGTTACAGAATTACTGATCTGCCTTCGTATAAAATCAAAAATATATATTTTTTCCTTTTTTCCAACAAACATCAAAAAATAAATTATTTCTTTAAAATAAAAACAAATGAAAAAACAAACTGAAACAATTTAAATAAATAAATTAAGAAGAAGACTAAACTAAATACTTTTTGCATCAACTTCTCAGAACCTTTGGCTTAAGCATTTGCATTTTGTGTGTGAGTGTGTTGGTTGTCTAAAGAAATATTTCATTTATTTCTTTGTGTTTGTTTTTTTAACAGCTTTCATGTCCTGCTATTCAAAAGCCTAAATGTTTCTTGTTTATTGTTAATTTAAAGCTATCTAAAATATTTTTATAAAGTGTTGCAACATTTTATTGCAGTTTGTTTCTTAGTAAAAGAAAAAAGGAAAATAAAAACACAAACAAAGCCGTTTGAAAATAAAATTGAATTAAATTATAAACCTTAATTAGGAAGGCGTTTGTTAAATAAAACTCCTGTTCAAAGGAAGTATTGAAAAAATAAATGTTATCTTACGTGGTTTTTAATAATGTAAATAATAGTATTTTATGTAATGTTTTTGTATTTGTTTCTTATGTTGAAAATAATAATTGATTAAAACAATATTTTTTTTTAAACAACAAACATTTTTTACACAGCCAATATTTATTTTGGTTTTTATTTTATTTATTTTTTCATCTTCAAATTCAAGGCATCTAATTTTTTGTTTTCTCAACTACAACCAATTCAAAAAAGCAACATAAAATTCGGGTTTCTCTTCAAAAAATTACTCTACAACCAATTCAAGGCAAATAACTAAATATTGTTTCTGAATAACAAATAATAATTTGTCTTTATTAAATTTTTTTAAAAATAAATTCTTGTTGTTTGGTTTTCTGTTATTTCTCAAATACTCACTGCAGTATCTGGGTTAAATGAAAATTAAATGTAGGAGTTTCTTTTTTTCTTGTTGTGAAAAAGTGCATTCAAAACGTTTGTGTTCCGTTGGATTGAAGAAGGATTGTTTTTGGTTAATTCGTAGGACTTCTAAAGTGAAGGAAACATCAATATGGTTTTCATATGGGTCGTACTAGTCATTGGGAGCTTCCTGGACATAAATTTAAAATAAATGATAACCAGATAAAACAACTGAATATAGAATATTGAAATCTGGCAATATTCAGGTACATTGTATTTTTTTTTTTTGAATTCGTACACGAGGCCCGAAAACTACTAAAATATATTAAACCAGTAAGGAAAGCAGTAAAGTCGGATTGGGCCGACTATATGATACCCTTCACCACTTTGGGTATTTTCTACATATGTATTCTAACAAACGTTGCGTGTTTGTTATATCTCTATATCTGAAACGATTTCAGGGAAACTTGTCAGAGACTAATTTATATTACTTCAGTACGTTGTGTCAGTCGACCTAGCAACATCATTCTACACTTAATTCAGTACCCTATACAAAAATTCGTGCAAATCGATAGATATATAGGGACTTTGGTGAACCAATTAAATAAATTAGGACGAAAATATATATGGGAGCTACATCTAAATCTGAACCGATTTTCAAGAAACTTAGCACATGCCATTCTAAACTTAACTCAGTACGCTATACCAAATTTCGTGCAAATCGAAAGATATTTAGGGACTTTGGTGCACCATTTGCCTTTAATCGGTAAATGGGACTTTGGTGCACCATTTACCTTATATCGGACGAAAATATATATGGCAGCTATATCTAAATCTGAACCGATTTCCAGGAAACTTAGCACACATCATTATAGACCTTATTCATTATGCTGTGCCAAAATTCGTGCAAATCAAAAGATTTCCAGGGACTTTAGTGGACTATTTACATAAAATCGGGCGAAACTATATATGGGAGCTATATCCAAATCTGAACCGATTTTCAAGAAACTTTGCACACATCATTCGTGACCTTCTTCATTACGCTGTGCCAAATTTCGAGCAAATCGAAAGACATAGTGGACTTTGGTGCACTATTTACCTTAAATCGGACGAAAATATATACCGGAGCTATATCTAAATCTGAACCGATTTTTCTCAATTTCAATAGGGTTCGTCCTTGTGCCAAATAAATGAACTGTGCCAAATTTCATCCAATTCGGATCATAAATGCGACCTGTATTTTTTTACAATTAAATATGGACAGACAGACGGACGGACGGATTCTATGCATATTCTCAAAAGGAATTATGTGTCTATCTCGTTTCCTTTTGCCTGCTACAAACATATGCACAAATACACAATACCCTGTACAACAGTGTGGTGAGGGGTATACAAAGTTTACATGGTTATTGTGCGAACTCAAAAATTTGAAACGAGGCTAACAGTTCTAGTGTATGTCGGATGATGCAAAGGGTTATTTCGAAACACTGGAAACAGTGGCTCTTCGAAAAAAAAATCGGACTAAAATGAACATAAAAATGGAACCAAATCGTACTAAAGAAGAGATGTCGGAAGTAAGTCTTGAGAATGTTGGACATTAGCTGGTCTATAAATGATCCTAGCAGCTCGTTTAGAAAGACTCTCTTCAGCTCATCTATAAAGATTCCCATCAGCTAGTCTGTAAAGACTCTCTTCAGCTCGTCTATAGAGACACCCTTCAGCTCGTCTATAGATACTCCCTTCAGCTCGTCTATAGATACTCCCTTTCGCTCGTCTATAAAGACTCCCTTTCGCTCGTCTATAAAGACTCCCTTTCGCTCGTCTATAAAGACTCCCTTTCGCTCGTCTATAAAGACTCCCTTTCGCTCGTCTATAAAGACTCCCTTTCGCTCGTCTATAAAGACTCCCTTTTCGCTCGTCTATAAAGACTCCCTTTTCGCTCGTCTATAAAGACTCCCTTTCGCTCGTCTATAAAGACTCCCTTTCGCTCGTCTATAAAGACTCCCTTTCGCTCGTCTATAAAGACTCCCTTTCGCTCGTCTATAAAGACTCCCTTTCGCTCGTCTATAAAGACTCCCTTTCGCTCGTCTATAAAGACTCCCTTTCGCTCGTCTATAAAGACTCCCTTTCGCTCGTCTATAAAGACTCCCTTTCGCTCGTCTATAAAGACTCCCTTAAGAAGAATTGGACAAAATGAAGGTTGGTTCAATGGTTGAAATTGAGAAGTTTTTCGATCCAAATTTAGCCCAAATTTTTCACAAAATGGCAACACTGACTGGAAGAGTTAGTTTTTATTGGGTTTACGACAATTCGTAGTAAAAATGGGATGTCGAAAGTAAGTCGTGTGGATGGAATGCTGGACTTAAGCACCATGAGTCATATTTTTAAATTTGCCCAGGAGCACCCACTGCCCAGGAGCACCCAAGATTAAATTTTAAATTATTATTTTTTTTTGAATTATTAATTTTTGCTTTCCTTGGAACACAAACGTTTTCAGTTCTTAATTTTTTTTTCCTCGTTACACTTCATTCGTTGGTGGGTGATGGGGGGATCGCGTTGGGGGTGTTTCTTATACGTTTTTTTAGTTTGTTATATTTTATTTTGCTTTGTATGTTTTTCTTTTTTTAATATCAAAACTATTGTTTCTGTTTTTATTATGTTTTGTTCTTGTACTGACGCTTTAACAATACTAAAAAAGAGAGTTTAGAGAAGAAATATTATCTTGTGATATCGTACCGTTTCGCTCACCTTCTTGTCCCACTGTAGGACGTACGGGACTGGATGATCATTGGGAAATTCAACGTGACAATTGAAGATGACACCTTCACCGAGTATGGCTGTGATATGGACAGCATCTTCTGCAAAGAGAGAGAAAAATAATAAATATTAAAATAATTGGAGATTTTTAAGATATTATGTAATATAATAACGATTTTTAAAAAATATTTTTCAAAGCGTATATTTTTCAAAGCCTATATTTTTTCAAGCATATATATTTCAAAGCCTAAACAACGCTTAGATTTCTTAAAAAAATATTTTTCAAAGTCTAAATAAGGAGTCGATTTTTCAAAGCCTAAACAAGGAGTATATTAAAAAAATAAGACGCAATGTGTATTTCCTTTTCTATTTTTGAAATTTTCAACACAAAACAACAATTTTCACGTAGCCTTCTCATATCAACTATCCTTTCCTGGTACCTTCTCCTTCTATATATAGAAGTTCTCAACTTTCTTATTAATTCGCTATACAATTTTCCCTTCTCGTGGGCCACTTTAATCCTTGACAGCAATGTTTTGTGTCGTGTTGATGACATGTCATGGCAGCTAAGTAGTAATTGTTGTCTATGAGTGAATGTATGTGACACTATGTGTAAACGGAAGTGATAACAACACATACACGTAGATATAATAGTAGAGAACATGAACTGGAATAGAAACTACAAAATCAACAGGAATATGGTCATTTAAGACGACGGTACATTGTCGACGACAATACAGACGTCCACTTGAGCATCAAAAACTCAAATAACAACAACAACGACAACAGTAACAACTCAAGTAGCAACTTTACAACTTTAAGAGCAAACGAAAGGATCAAAGGAGACTACGACTGGCAGTTGTGTACAGTTTACACGTCGCATGTTTTTAGGTGTTTAGACGGTGTACGAAAAAAAAAACTTTGTTTGTCTAAAATATTCAACTGCATGCCGGCTCAATGTCATCGTGTATACGCCAATGATGATGGTGGTGATGGCGTCGATGATGGTCGTGTGTCAACAACACATCCACCAAAGAAATGTCTGATGTCTACACTTCCTGCAAATAACTTCTTCTATGTATTTCTTTGTAAAGTTTTTTTTTTTTCTTTTTTCGAAAGAGGAGAATCGTCAAAGAGGAAATGGAAATTATCGTATGTTACATGTCATGTCACGTTATCGTTGAAATCTCCTAACGTATTTTAGGTTTGCTTCGCAAAACAGATACTTTCCTAGTTTTATCCTGATGTGTGTATGTGTGTGATTGCGTCGCATTTGACAGTTTTCTGGCGTATGGAGAAGAAATGAAGTTTTCATGGCGGTTTTTAGTTTTTCAGGTAATGGTAGGTGGGGAACGAATCGGTTGGCATTAATAAGTCTATGAACAATTTGTACATTTTACATCCGCTGTATGAACAGGCTAACATGCATATTGGAGGGAGTTTAAAAGGGAACGTTACTTTAGTTATCGAAAAGTGCCAGAAATTTTAAAAATAGCTGTTGTTGAAATTCTAAAGTGGAATCTTCTAAAGCCCTCAATTTATGGTAAAGAAAAATTTTTAAGGGATATATAAGGTGTGTATTTTGTAGATAATATTTTATTACATATATATGGTGTGAAGTTGCTAAATCATTTTTAAGGCCTATATAATTCATAGATTTTCTAAAGAAAATGTTTAAAGCCTTTTTCTAAATCCAAACCTTCATGGAACACCGAAAATATATATTTTTGTAAATCCATCCCTTGCTGGACCATGGGACACCGGAAAAATATTTTTTAAAAAATCCAAGAAAAAACTATTTTTAAAAAAAAATGGTGAACCATAAAATATATTTTTTAAGAAATCAACGCTTTGATGGATCATGAAAAAAATTTTTTTTAATGCACGCTTGGATGGAGCACCAAAAAAAAAAACTTTAAACCAGTGAGCGGAGCAGTATAGTCGGACGGGCCGACCATATGATACCCTACACAACTACCACGAAAAGCAAATTTTCTGCGGTTCTATATTCTGAGCCTGGGCAATATTTCGTTTTACTTTTTACCGATTATAGATCAACAACTTCACTTTTATTTTCCAAACATTTTTTCTTGAAGTGAATTTTTACGCCATGAAATAAAAAATTGGTCACATTAGGTTGGTTGATTTGACCTTTAGGAATATTGACTGATCATCATCTAAACAGTCGCTTTAACAGCCTTCACCTTGTAAAATATGTGATATTCTGCATATAATAATTGCCTCTAAAGCAATTAGAAAACCTGACAAAATTAAAGTTTTTTGTTCATTGCACCCACTGAATGAAATCTCGACTTCACATAAAACTACAGGCATCGTCCTTGACCATAATCGGAACTTCATGTACAATTTCAAAGCGATCAGCGCGAAATTTCCGTCCTTTAATGCCGTAATAGTAATAATATGCACATAGTCACCTTTACCTAATTACGTATAACTCCCACATCAGAGTACATACAGCCATATAATTGGTATCAATATGAAGATCAACAACTTCTCTTGGATATACTATCAACATCTCGGGTATATGTCCTTCAGGAGCAGAATAAAAATTTTGTAATTTTTCACACAAAAGTCAGGGTCCATTTGACCCGCTAAATATTGATCGATCTTTATCAAAACAGGCATGCTTATTCTTTGGCCCGATCCCCTTCTTGATGTAAAATTTCAAGATGTTCGGACCATAACTGCGGCCTCTGGAGCGACCAGAAAAAGCGACAAAAAGTAAGTATTTGGTCCATTTCATCCCCTAAATGTTAACCGATATTTCCCAAAAAAACGATAGGGGTCTTCATTGGCCCGAACCCAGCCTACATGCAAAATTTCGTGAAGATTGGTCCATAAATGTAGCCTGTATCGTGTTTACAAATTATAATGGACAGATGAACGGACGGACACACATGTCTAGATCGACTCAGCTAGTCGAGATATGATCGGTATACTTAAAGGTGGGTCTAGGACCGTTACAACTCTTGAGGCTGCACAAAGCTATAATACCCTGACAACATAGTTGTGTAGGGTATAAAAATCCACGCATTAATGTTAAAAAGATATACTTTAACAAGTTAAAGACAACTTAGGCCTTAAACAAATATTCTTTAAGAAATCTACGACTACATAGGTCTTGCATATGATTCTATATAAAAAATATTTATTTAAAAAATCTACGCCTGTTATTCAATGTAAAAAAATCATTTAAAAAAATCTACGCCTATGATTCTATATAAAAAAATATTTCTTTAAAAAATCTACAAATCTACTTTTTCTGGGCCAATAATTTTATCAAAAATATTTAATATTCGACGAAGATTTTTTTCCATTCCATTTAAAAGCAACCAGCTTAATTCTTTTGGCAAAAAATTAAGGGAAAACATTTAAAATGTTTTCTTTATTCCAAATTCATACCCCCACCAACACACCATGGTGTTTACCGCCCATAAAGCCAATGATAACTACTGTGAAGAAAATAGAAAAGAGTAATCCAAAACCAAAACAAGTGACAACATACAACAAACGTGAGTGGTGCAACGATGGTGGTGGTGGATGGTGAGTGAGTGATTTACTCATAAGTTAGTTATCCAAAGTTAGAATTAACAACAGTTCAAGTGAACAGCGGCAACATGCCACAGTACAATACAACAACAATGACAAAAGCAACAATAACGATGACAGCAAACAACTACAACAACATCAACTCAAACAGCAATAAACTCTACAGAAATCGTAAACGACAACAACGTAACTGTCGTTGTTGTTGTTGTTGATGTCATTGTCGTTAGCCATGACGATGTTGTTGTTGTTGCTGCTGCTGTTGTGGATATCCGTTGCTCCAACAGTGTAGTGATAAAACTTGTGTAAGGAATCTGAGTTTTATTTCCCACTTCAATTATTGGTTTTCTTCCTTTCTTAGCGTATTTCACAAGGGGAGGTAGTGGGTGATAGGATTTGTGTGTGTGTGCTAACCAAGCATTCCCATGTATTGGTGCATCAATTTAACTGTTGAGGCATTTACATGACATGTTGTCTATTTTTCGTTCGTTCGTTCGCTTTTTCCTCCTGTAAACCTCACATTCTGTATCCTGATATTCCCGTAACGTTGGTATTTTTTGTTTCCTTTCCCTCTTCTCACCACTATTTGCCCTGATGTTGTTTCTGCTGTCGTTGTTGTTTTGGTGTACTTGAAGTGTTAACCACTCAAAACTTAGTTAAAGCATTTCGTTTCGTTCATTAGCATTGACTGAGCGCTCAACAC